TTTTTTAACCATTTTTTTTTTTTTTTTTTTTTTTTTTTTTTTGTTTGAAAAAATTAATTTTTCTCATTTTTTTTCTATTTCTTTCCTTATTATTTCATAATTTCGATTTCGATCCAAAAACCAACAACGAACAAATTAAGGAAAAACGCGAACTAAAGATAAATATCGTGTTGTTTATACGGAAAATCAACGTATCGAATTGGAAAAAGAATTTATGTTTTCACGTTATATAACAATAAAACGTAAAGCTGAATTGGCTAATGAATTATCATTATCCGAAAGACAGGTAAGAATCTATTTTTTTGACATATGTTTTAAATATGAAAATGAAGAAAACAACAATCCAAATAAACCTATATTATTATTATTATTATTTGTGAGAGCAATATGTTCAGACTATGAAAAATTATTGAAAATATACAAATCGAAAACAAAATATATTTTTTTGGGGATTCAAAATCAATAACCGAACAAACATATAGACATATAGTCAATTTATCAAATATTATCATCATCATTGTATAGTTTTTTTTTCAAGTTACAGCCCACAACAATCAACAATTTAACGTTGATTGATAATGATGATGATGATGATGGTAAACAAAATGATTTCTTTTTCCATATATTTTTGAAGTGGTAATGTGATCACACATATCACAAATATAGATTTTTTTTATATATTTGACAACAACCATTATAAACCAAAGAAAAAAAAATCAACAACTAAAAAAAAGTTTATCAATAGGGATTTTCGATTAGATTTTTTGTCAATGTGTATAGCCAATTGGTTTGTTGATGTTGGTGTGTTGTTGTTGGTGGTGGTATTTGATCTGTGCTGTCAATGATTTCTATTTTTTTTTCCTATTCATTTTTGAGTGAGGCTGTTCCATTATTATATTCAATTTATTGATTTGATAATCATAGTTGACAATCATCAAATACAAACTCAACAATTTGCACACACACACACACATATATTAGGTATCTTTGATTGACAAATTATTTTTTTTTCGGTCTCCAGGTCAACAGGTAAACAGTATTTTCTTTTCTTTGTTACCTATTTTTTCATACATAAATGTTGAACGAAATTTTCCAAGTTACCACCCTCAAGTCTAGTTTTTTTTTGTTTTTGTTTCAGTATAGGTGTTTTGAATTGATTTAATGAATAATAAATCAATCAAAAACATCAATATTAATAATATTTTCTTTTCTTTTTTTTCTATTGACACAATGATTATGATGTAATTCAATTGGAATTCATTTGTTTTTTTTTCTTTTCTATTCTAATCTTTTTACAAAAAAAAAAATGAAATTATCAAGGTAAAAATTTGGTTCCAAAATCGTCGTGCAAAAGATCGTAAACAATTGCGAAAAAAAGATGAAATTACTAAAAAAAATAAGGATAAAACAACAAGAAAAAATCTAACATCAACCGGTATTCTAGATTCTGGATCAATTATGATGAATAATAATAATAATAATAATAATAATCAAACAACGGTGATCAATGGTAATCGATATTCATCATCATCATCATCAATAAATGATATCGGTGGTGGTGGTAATGGTACATTAATTTCTGATAATAATTCTATTATTATTGATTCACCATCATCAACATCGATTCATAATAATGGTAATAATAATAATAATCTAGCCAATTATCATCATCATCATCATCATTTTAGTGGTCATATAAATCCTCATCATCATTATCATCATTCAAATTTAATGTTAGCCGCACATCAACATTCAACATTACAACAACAACAACAACAACATTGTAATCAATTAACCGATATGAATGGTTGTCTTAAGTCATCAACAACAATAACATCATCACCGCCATCATCATCATCATCGATAACATCTGAATCGACAACAAATATTTCGACAATTAACAACGGATTAGCATCAAATATTCAATCATTATCATCAATAAAATCACCGCCATCATCATCATCGTGTTCTGTATCAATAGTATCATCTTCATCATCAACTGCTGCTTTACCATTATCAACAACAGCAACAGCAACATCCACATCATCAATGGAAACATCATCAATATCATCATCGCCAACTACATCAGTATCGACAATAACATCTACAACAACTGGAATCAATAATTTAATTGAACATCGTCATAATTTAATAAATAATAATAATGATAATATTGATTATTCACAACATATGTTGACAATGATGACTGGCCATCATCAACTTCATCATCATCATCATCAACAACATTCTAATTTAAATATTTCATCATCATCATCATCATCAACACCATCATTATTACAAACAGGTCCTAATGCCCATCATACATTAATTTCAACTAATAATAACAATCATATTCTTCATCATCATAATACACATCCACATCTTCATCATCAGTCATCAATTACAACTAATTAAATGAATTTTATTCTTTGAAGATTTTTTTTTTGGCTATTCAAACACCCACATACATATAGATAGATAAAGAGTAAATAATTTATTTGAAAAAAATTTCTTTTTTTTTGGCTTTTTATTTTACATTATTATATTTCTATAAACACTATCTATCTATGATTTGTAATTTTTGTTTTTTGTTTCCAAATTTATAATTTTACATTAATCTGAATATTTATTGACAACATCAAACCATTACAAATTCATTCAAACATCATTTGTTTCAGTTAGCAAAAAACAAAAACAAAAAACATTCATAATTATTAATCACAATTTAATCATAGGTGAAAAAAAAATCTTGAACATTTCGTATGAAATTTTGGCTGATTATCCATTATCAATTTCTGCCCGTGTGTGTTTGTGTTTGTGTGTGTTTCCAAATTCTTATTTCCATTATTCAACAAGATTTTCAAACTTTCAGCTAGTTTTCAAATACATTTATTATCTGTTTTTAATTAATTAATTAATTAATTGTGGATCATCATTATCAGGTTTTTAATCATCATAAATTCTTTCATAAACTAAAAAATCTATAACCATCGTATTCTATCTATTGATCAATCATTAAATTTTAAAACACAGATTATGGATACTATCTATTTGTCTATCTTTTTAATTTATTATTATTATTATTATTATAAAGTAATTATTGATTTTAACAACAACTAAAACAAAAACTAATTAATTAATGAATCTGTACATCTATTCTGCAATTATTATTATTATTATTACTAAACGAAAAAAAAAAATATCATGATTTTTTTTCTGTCTATTATCAATTTATTTTACTTTGATTCATTTAATATTATTCCATTATTATCATTATTATTATAAATTGAATTTTTCGATGATAAATAAATTACAATTTTTTGCTTGTTCTTATTATTATTCAAAAAAAAATTCGAATGTTATCTTTCTAATTCTTGTGGCTAGATGGCGCAATCGTACGAGCGCGATTCGAATGTTTCAAAAAAAAAGTTCGAAATTCGAACGTTTTTGATCGAATTTTTTGTTTGTTTGTTTGTTTTGTTAATCGACAGACATTCGATTGTACGTTCGGAAATAGAAAACTATCGTCATCATGGAATCATCAATGATAAATTATGATAATTCTCAATCATGTTTGTTTCAAACATCGAATCCAATATATGATCATAATTATGATTATAAAATCTATCATCAACAATTCAGTCAAGATTCGGCTTATGATAGTATGCAGTTTTCGCAACAATCAATGGATTCAATCCAATCAATGGAAGCAAATGTCTTGAACGATTCGATGAATTGTTATCAATCAATGGAAAATTATCAAGATAAATATGATTACAATCAATGCATCGATTCTCAACAATTCAATTATGTTGGACAATTTAGTCAAGATTCAACATATGGAAGCCAACAATACAATTCACAAAAAATCGATTCTATCAATTCATTTAGTCCAGTTGTTTTGTATAATCCAAGTCAGACCCTTCCAAATAATTTTCAAGAAAATAATGACGTTCAATATCTTCATTCAAATCAACAACCATTGAATAATGTTGTTAACCAATATTTAGATAATGTTCCAATTCGTTATGAAACAAATGGATACAATAAAGCTCCGACAAACGAGCTTTATTACGTTGATTATCTCATGCAGTTTCAGCCGAAATTGATCGAAAACTTCCAAAACTACTTGAAACATTCATTCCCGAAAGAATCGAAATTGGACATAATTGAAAAATTGGAAGCACTGAAAATGCAATTCAATCAATTAGATATATCTGATAATGATGACAGCAATGATAACGAACAAGAACAAAACAGTGATTTTTTTAATATGAGAGGCAGAAGAATTCAAAAATCAAATCAAATCAACAAAAAAAGCTTTCCAAAATGTCTTCGAAATGTAAGTATAAATTATTAAATCGTAATCAATTTTAATGAATTTTAATATTCACAGATTGTGAGATTGACAACAGATATAAAATTTTCCAATGAAACCGGTATAACATTGAACCAGACAAACAAACGCTACAAATCTATTCGATTGAATAATCCGCTCCGTTTAGAGCAATATAGTTGGCTAATTGATCGTTTGATTGAAAATTGTAAAACTGATCAATATAATGGACCAAGAGACCTCTATTATCAAAATATAGGATTATTCCCTAACGTTAATATAATCACTACGTTATTGAATGATATATGTTGCACTGTGGGAGTGACACGAATGAATTTAAATGTTACGGTCAGTCAAAAAGGATTTGTTTTTGGTGATTTAACAATATCATATCGAAACAAAATGATCCTTTATGATTCGAATACAAAATCATCGATGCTTATTCCTGATTGCATTCAAGATTTGAAAATTTGTCATTCTAATGCGCGATTCATACTTGTAGTCGAAAAGTACACAACATTTGCACATTTAATCTCAAATGGAATTGCTGAACGATTTCCATTAATCATGATTACTGGATCTGGATATCCAGATTTGAAGACAAGAAGTTTCTTACAAAAATTATGGTTCGAATTAAAATTGCCAGTATTCGCTTTTATGGATGGCGATGCTTATGGAATTGATATAATTTTATCATACAAATATGGTTCTATTCAATCAGCATATCAGAATCATCATCTAATTGTACCAAGTATCCAATGGTTGGGAATAACTGCCGATGATATCAATGATTTTCAATTGAAAGGAATCCGTTACAAACGAAATGAACTGAAAAAATTCGATTCGCTTTTGAAGCGTAAAGATGTTTTTGACAACAATATATGGGCTGATGAAATAAGAAAGATGAAACAATTGGGCATTAAAGTTGAAATTCAAGATTTGGTAGATTATTCACCACGATTTTTGATCGATTGTTATTTTCCATATAAATTTTCATACGGTAAATGGTTCTGAAATAATTCGAATACAATATCGATTCTAATTCAAGATGATCAAACTTTTCATTCACAAATTAAAAAAAACTAACTTTAATTTCTGTTTAATTTTTAGCGTTTCAGTCAAATAAATTTGTAAAAAAATAATACAAATCAATTTAATTTTTAGGCAAACCATTGGCACTGAGAAGACAATTTGAATCATATTGATTACTAAGAATTTTTGGTCCACTGCCCAAACGAGTGGAAATGATATACTTTAAATCATCACCCATTCGTTTACGAATATCAATGTAATCGCAAAGTTTTTGATCAATATTTATCTGATCAGTTTGATATGTAATACCATTAATTGCTAATTCAGTTCCATCACTTTTTTGAAACATTCGACGAATCGATTTGATCAATATAGGTACATTATTGTCCAGACAATAAATACATGCATTTGGACCAGCATCAAATGTATAGCATGCAACATTGTAGCCAAATAAATTATTAATAAAATGAATCAGATTTACAATCGACCATGAAATATCATTCATGTAGCGGATTGGTGGATAAGTATCTTGACAAATAGCATGAAATTGATTAGAATCTTTCATTGTAATTTCAGCAAACTTTTCAAAATTTCTTTCCATAATCGCTTTGGTTATTTGATCACAATGTTCAAGCACAACATGTTCGGCACGATATTTAATCAATGGACTTGTTTGACAGCTAAGCTGCATACCGAATGTACTTGATGTATCTTTACGATGATCATTGACAACACAGACAAGAATACGAATTTCTGGCCATTCATTTTCAGTGATCACTTGTCGAGCAATAGAAGTTTGATGATCATAACCGGCAATCCATCGTACAATACCACCATAAATTGAACGACAAGCTGAACCCGAACCTAAACGGGCTAATGATGATATAATTTTAGGATCGTTGATTTCAAACAATTTACATAATGCATAACAAAGACAAGCATAACCGGCAGCTGATGATGCTAAACCAGCAGCAGTTGGAAAATTGTTTTTGGAACATATACGAATATGATGATCCGATGGCCAACCAATTGTTGATTCGGCTAATTTTCGAACTAAACCAAAAAAAAATCAGTCAAATTTCGATATTTTAACTTAAAATTTTAAAGAGATTACCATTTTCAATACAACGAACTAATCGCTTATTATCTTCGATTTTTACTTCAACATTATTTAACCACATACGATTTGAATCGAATTCATTACTGAATGCAATTGAAGTTGTTGCACAAAGATGTTCCATTGACAGTGTACCACTGATTGAATCATTCAATGGAATAATTAGATTTTCATCTTTTTTACCCCCTTTATCAAAATAATCAGAAAATTTAAAGTTAACAATCAATTTTTTTGTTTGTTTGTAAAAAATTTAACTTACAATATTTTATTACGGCAATGTTGACCGGAGCTTGAGCAGTGATGATTTTCATTTTGTAATTTTATGTTTTACTAATTGATTTTTCGAATCATAAAAAGAAATCACAAAAAAAATGAATAAACGAATTTCGGAGGCGATAGATGAATTTGAGAAAAAAAGCAGATATTTTATGGTTAAAATTTCAAAAATAATACTGATTTGTGACGAAAAAAGTAGAAACATGTACGTGTCTCAATGACGGTTAAAATTTGAATTGACAAAAAAAAACTAGTTTGACCATCATATTCAATTGATGTGAATATGAAGAAGATGGCCAATTAATCGATAATATTAAAACAAGAAATATTCAATTATTCGTAATTCGAGAAAAAAACCAGTTGTGAAAGAAGATGGACAAGGAAAATTAATGTGGTTAAGAAAAGAAAAAAAAACAAACATTCGAAAATTCATCATATGATGATGCAATCAAAATGTAATTCATCAGTGATAGATGGCAGTGTTGTCGATTCTTTATTCCAAAATTCCCAGTTTTTGTTTTCATTTTGATAATATTTTCTTGGCAATCCATCTCGTTTATCATTATTATTTCAATAACAAGATCCAAGAAGAAGAGGAAAACAAAACAAAAAAAAAAGCTTAATTCAAGTTAATACTAAAGCGGCTTCTGTGTGTTAATCTATTTTTGAAGTTGTTTGTTTGTTTTGTTATATTTCTTATGATGATTGATGATTGTAAAAAAATATAAAAAATATTCTTGTCCATTGATGAAGAAGAAGAAGATGATGATGAAAGTGTGAGTGAATAGAATGCCAAAGTGATATTTATATATCAAAACTAATATTTGAAACATACAGCAGCTAACTAGCTATGAGAATAGAGAATCAAAGAAAAAAAGAAGCACCCAAATACAGATATCCAGAATATAAAAAAAAAATCAAACCCGAATTTCCAGAAAATAAAAATAAAAAATAAAACGGCTCACCGGGAATCATCAGTGAAAAGAATAGAACAAAACAGAAGAAAAAAAATTCAGATCATGAACAATGATCCAAATGTTTGTTAGTTATTTCCATTGATGATGATGATGATTTTTTTCCAGTTTTTTTTTCACGCCTAATTTGTACAACAACAACAACAAAATTATATTCTTATTTGGATAGAAAATAAAAACAGAAACGAAAAAGTTTCTTCTTCATCTTTTTTTGTTGTTGTTGTTGTTATTATTTGGATTTCTTCATTAACATCATTATCATCTTTTTTTTTGTTTGTTAGCCTGGTGTCTTCCAACCCCCCAATCCCAAAGAAAATAATAATAATAATAATAAGAAAAAATTCTGTACATTTCAATCTTTGTACAGATTCTTTATATATTTGTGTGTGTGTGTGTAATATATGTGATTATCCAATATAACAAAACACACACACACACACACAATAGCTAGAGAGAATATATTGAAATGAACGAAATGAATCGAATCAATGAAAAATAAAAAGAAAGAAAAGAAATCGAAATAGGAATCGAATCCGAATCCGTATCGGGTATCGTAAAATTGAATTCAAGTGTAGGACATTCGATTGATGACAAACAAAAACAAAAACAAAACAAAACAAAAAAAAACGAGAATGAGAACAAACGCATCTTTTCACATCTGATTCTCATTCTTTTTGTTTTTTATTTCTGGAACATAACAACAACAACAACAACAATTTCCACTGGGCCAAATCAACAACTAAAAAAAAAAGAAAAAATCGTATAATTGAATTGCCGCCGAAATGCAAAAAGAAAAAACTCAAAGAGTCATCGATTTTTTTGTTTTTTGTTTTGTTCGATTTTTGTTTTCGATTTCGATTTGTACCCAAAAACAAAAACATTCGCAAACGAACTAAATAAAATGAATGAGGAAGCAGAAAAGAAAAAACTTCATGGCCAAGATTTAGGAGGATTCAATGATATTCTGTGTGTACAGAAATGATAAAATGGAAAAAACAAATAATAAAAACAACAACAATTTCTGTGTTTAAAGAAGAAGTTTTTCTAATTCTTATTGTATTGTATTTTTTTTAAAACAAAACAAAAAATGGTGTGATTTGAAGGGGTGTGTGATGTGGAAATAGCCATTTTCGATTTTCAGAAAAAAAATCCAATTTTTTTTAATATTTATTTACATGATGTGATGTGATCGTAATTCTGATGATAAACATGTAAATGAATTCAAATTAAACACATTATGTTTTTTTTTCTTCTATGGCCTATTTTTTTTTCTTTTATTCTATAGATTTTAATCGTTATTTTCTTTCTTTCGATTTTTGTTTTCTTTCAATGTTTCAAATGTTCCATTTCAATGATTTGGATGTTATTCTCCCTCCATCTCTCTCTCTCTCTCTTTGCTCCCCTTCATTCATGTTTTGTCAGATTATAAATGTTGAATGTTGTTGTTGTTGTTTCTTTTATTTACATGTTTGACAATGAATGAATCAGAATCAACAACAAAAAAAAATATGATTATTGATCGGAAACAAGAACAAGAACAAAACAGAAACAAAATCATCATATGATTTGAATAATAATATTTATTCAATTTGATGTTATTGCAAGTAGCACATGATCATTTGATAATAAATTGATCACCAATGATCATCATCAATGGAAAATCATCATTCGTATTTTGATCCATATTTTTTGAAACATTTTTTTTGTTTTGTTTTTGTTTTTTTTTTTGGGATTTCGTTTCATATGGAATTAAATATTTGGCCATCACTTGTCTATCAAATATATTTTGTTCTTTTTCTTGTTGTTTTGGTCGTTGTATTCGAAGCTTGTCAACAACAACAACATTTTTTGTTGTTGTTGTTGTTGTTACAATTCTTTAATGTAATCATGTTGCTCATAATATTTTTAAATAATACAGAGAATCTGTCATTTTTTTTTTTTTTGCTGTTTCAGAAATCATTTCATTTCGGTTTTATTTATTTATTTTTCCACGCAAAATAAAGTGAAATTTTTTAAAAAATAAAAATTATAAAAGTAACAGAGATTCGTTGTAAAAGTTGTTTCGTCCATTACAGTTTTTTTATTTCCTTTTTTTTCTTCGCTACAAATGATGATTGACAGTTATTATTATTATTATTTTCTTTTTTCTTCTTTCAAAAGTAGAATCACGAAACAAACGCATCACACACAAATGGTACTCAAATGATGATGACAAAAAAAAAAGATGAATTAACTGTGATAAAAAAGATAAAGTTTATTTAAAACTAACTAACAGACTCATGAAACTAAATGAAAAGAAGAATCTTGAATCGAGAGAGAAAGAGAAAGACAGCCATCAACGAATTTTTGTCCATTTTTTTTTCTAGTTTTGATAAAATTTTGGGTGAAAATTGAAGTGTGTGTGTGTGTGTATGAATATAAAAGAAATGAAATGAAAAATCAAATTGAAATGAGAAAAATTAAGATTCTATAAGATTCTAACATTGAAACAACATGATTCATGTTTGGTGGTTAGATGGGTGGGTGGATATAAATTGAAATGTAAATCAATTTTGAAAAATTTCATGTTTTTCATATTAATAAATGTATGAATATTGAATGAATGAACGAATGAATGTCTTTATTAAATTGATTTAATATATACATGATGAACATAACCATAATGGTGTATTATTTAGCAAACGAAATTCATTTTTTTCCTTCCTAATCGTTTTCTTTTCTTTTTTTTTTGAATTATGAAGAGAATAACCCATAATTCGGTTCACCGAAGAAATCCAATAGAGAGAGAGAGAGAGAAAAAAAACGATAATTTACATTTTGATTGTAATTGTATGTGGTTTAAAAGATAATGATCATTCTTGGCCGACAACAACAACGAACAAAAAAATGAATAACAACAATTCGTGTGTTTGAATGAGAATGAAAAAAAATCATTTAAAAGTTGAAAGAAGAAGAAAAACATTTCATTTTCACAATTGGCAAGCAATAACACGTTTTCATTATTATTTTTCTTTTTCTTTTTTTGTGATTATTCGTTCGTTTTCCGGATCATCATCATCAACATGAATGATATAATGATTTTAAAGGAAATTTTATTTTATTTTATTTTTATTTTTATTTCTTTTACGTGATGTCCATAAAAATATTATAATATTTTTGACCGGAATTTATCATTATCATCATCATCATCATCATTTGCCTTGGTTACAAGTATTTGGTCAATTCAATTCTATTTGAAAATAAAAACTTAATATCACCGATAAGTGTGTGCGATCACTTCAATTCATAAAATGTTGAAAATTCCACCGAAAGATAAAAGAAAAATTCCTCATTGATCATTATTATTTGATTATGTTTCCAAATTCAAATCATAATTTTGTTTCTGTTTTAATCAACTTTTTTTTTGATTGTAAAGTCAAAATGAACGAAAAATTTAGAAAAACAAACACAATAAAAGAAAAACAGAAATAATTTTCAATTAAATTTTTTTCCTGTTTAAACCAAAAAAAAAAAAAAAATAATCCATCTCTACTGGTTTTTTATTTTGGTTTTAAATACATGTATTATTGATGTTTGAAATGATTTCCGAATCACAAATGACAATCAATGGCATAATAACGGCAACCAACAACAGCAAAAAAAAAATGAAAATGAAAATAAACTGAATTTATAATTACACATTTCAAATGTTTCAAACAAAGCTATGAACAATTTTTTTTTTCTTTGGGTTTCTATAATGAGCAATGAAACAGTAAAATGAAATTAAAGCGTGTTTGAACATTTTAAAATTTGATGATGATGATGATGATGATGATGTAGATTCTGATGAATAAAATGAATAATTGATTGTGAAATTTTGTTTCGTTGTGGGTAAATTACTATTAGTTTTTTTTAAAAAAAAACATTTCTATTCATTTTTTTATATAATAGGGGTTTCACACTAGCAGCAATGTGAATGAAATATTTCAAATGCAATATTTCA